TTTTTCTAATATCTAACCTAAACTTCCCCTCCTTCAATTTGAATCCATCACCCCTATCATTGCAAATCCCTCAGAATCAAACCAAAATGGATGAAAAAACCCTCCCAACCACCCCAGGAGGCACAAATCCTGCAAGTTGGGGAAGGACAACGTGAATTTTCCACCTCCCAGTGGTCTGATACCTAGAGCCCATCACTGCGCAGGACCAGATCTCCTCTGGCATGAATGTCCCATCCTCTGCAGAGGTCTGTGTGCATCCCATGATGCCTTTCTGCTCCCAAAGTCAATCAGTGTTGCCCAAAATACATTTTGACCCGGGAGCTGCAGAGCGTTGGGCAGTGAACGTCGATACCATGGTTGGAAGAGCAGCTCTATCTCCAGGCAGTCTGGGCTCCTGCACCCACCAGCACCCCTGACTTCACTCTCTGGCCTCATCCTCTGATTCCTGAGCGTTTTTGGGTGTGATCAAGGTGAGTTTATTAAGGGTAGAACTTGTTTTTGTGGAGCTGAGAGCTGGGAGGTAGTGGTGGGGTTTGATTGGGAAGGGTGACAGCACTTTTCTTTCCCTCCCCTCATTCCTAGGGTATTTACAGGCAGGTTTTCCAGCAGTTCTCTGTGTTGTGCTTGTGTTTCTATGCAAGGATTTAGGGGAGAAAAAAAACTTCATGTGTAGAATATTAGAGGGAAAAATCCCAAGGTCTTTGACCCTCATAAATCAACTATAATGGATCAGGACTCTTCATTTATCAGTGGGTCTAACCAAGCCTGGCTTAGCACAAGGGTTAGTTTTGTAGCAGAGCTGTGGTAAAGTTCTGATCAGTCGAGCTAGACTTAAAAAAAAAGTCTTATTTCTTCCCAATGTTGTCTCAGCTGAAGGATTGTGTATCCCCATCCATCACTGGGGACTTGGCACTGAGGGGTTTGTGCTACTTCATCCTTTAGGAGCTTCTGGGTCATTTTTTACAGCACAGATAGGGATGGCTGCAGCTGGGTGGGTATTTTCCTGTTTTTCCTGCCAGCACCAACTTCCTAAAATCCTCAGCTTTTAGCCCAGTCATGATATTTTCAGGAAGCCAAAGCTCACTTCATCCATTAGGAGCTTCTGGGTCATTTTTTAGAGCACAGATAGGGATGGCTGCAGCTGGGTGGGTATTTTCCTGTTTTTCCTGCCAGCACCAACTTCCTAAAATCCTCAGCTTTTAGCCCAGTCATGATATTTTCAGGAAGCCAAAGCTTGTGGCTGACGTTAGCCCTTAGTACACCGCAGGATTGAGTTTACCCCTAAAATAAAGTGGTGCCTGCAAGAAGTGTTGGAATAATGGAGTTAAAAAAAAAATCAAACCAAACCCAACAAAATCTATTAGATCAAGAGGTGTCTTTAAATATCATCTGGGTGAAGGTTGGAGCCTGTATGAGACTAAAGATTATCTTTGCCCAGAGGGAAAAAAACGGGTCAATAATTCAACAGCCTAAGGAAAGCCAACGTGGCCAGCCCTGGGCCCTTCCAGTTCTTTGGGTGCACACCCCAATTTGCTTTCTCTTTTGAAGCTATTTGGCTTGAGTTGAGACTTTTCTTCCCTAAACTAGATGGATAATGGTGCGCTATTGCCATGGATGCAAGCAGCCGGAACGGGGGACACGGAGAGGCTGGTCCTGATCACTCTCAAAGTGACTTTGGGAGGCATCGACCGGGCTGCCATGAATAGTAACCGTTCTCCCGTCCAAGTCAAGTGTGAAAGGCAATCACTGGAGGTCAGATAATTAGAAGATTAATTAACATCCCTGACCAAATCCAAAGAAACTCCTATGGGGGATCAAACAGCAGGTTTGAAGGAAGAGATCTGGAAGTGGCAGCGTGGAAAAAAAAAACCCAACGAACGTGTGGTCAGGAAATGGGGAAAGCAAACTTGGCTTGTGCTAAACCTCTGTTAGGTCCCCCCAAAAATTCAGTGGGTGCTTACAGCCAGCAAACAACTCCTGTGACCTGAGCTCGTGTCTGTAATTGTGCCAGGAAATCTCCATGAGAATCTCCTACACTTCCCTCACCCCTTTCCTTGGAGCAGCACAAACTGGAGAGTGGAGATCTGGATTTTTCTTGACCGTGGGGAGAGCAGAGGTGGAGGTGGAGCACAGGCAGAGCTGGCACAGAGTGAGGCAGTGCTGAGCTCACCGAGGCAGGAGGTGCCGGAGGGTCCCGTGGGAAGGTCCTGACTCTCCAGTTCATCCTTGCCCTGGCTGGGAAGGACCCTGAGATTTCACCAGGGCCACACGTGTGAAGGATTCCCATAGTGGGGAGCACCTGGTGGGTGTGCAGAGAAGCTCTCACCCTGTCCAACACCCTTAAAACTCTCTCTCCTTTCTCCCCACGGCTCAGCTCTCTCCGAGCAGCAGGAACATGCTGGAGGATGAGGATGGGATGAGTGAGAGGGGACTCAGCAGCTCCAGGAGGAGATATGACGACGAGGAAGGTGAGTGAAAGCTCAGCAATATCCCAAAAGGCAGAAAGGGGCTGATCCATCAACTCTCCCAGAATAAACTCCATGCATTAAACCTGGTGGGAAGACAGCAAACATCTCCCTGCTTTTCTTCTTGAATTGGAAGGGAGAAAACACAGCTCTGTTGCCTAAAGCTTTTCCTGCCCATCTCTCTAGATTACCATTCCATCTACATCGGGGTGCCAGTGCCCCGGGGGTACCGCAGGAAGCGACGCCGGAGGAGATCTCCTGCCTCCAGCAGGGACAGGACGAGCGAGAGCGAGCGACACTACGAGCGCCACGACCACTCGGACACCGACGACGGAGGCCACGGCTGCTATGAGAGTGGCAACGACAATGCCAGCAGGACCAGTGAGTCCTCCTTGAGCTTCCTCACCCCCCAAAAAAATCCCCAGGAGGAGAGGTTTTGCAGCATCATTGAATCCGGGATTCACTTGGCACTAGTTTTCCCAGTGCATCCCGGGTTTATTTTTCCCTGTGGATGTCTCTGAGATCAGGGCACAGGGTGTGAAATGGGATCTGAGGCTGCTTTAGGGGATGGGTAGGCTAAAATATGAGTTGTCCTTGCCCTTGGGAGGTTGTTGAGAAGGAAATTGGGGTGCAGGGGGATCCTAGGGGTGCAGACAACCTTTGGGCATCACACCTTGTTCCCGACAGGCTTTTGCCCAAGGCTTTGCCAGGTCTCCTGAAATCTCCTTAGGGAAGATTAACCTTTTGCACAGCAAAGGAGCTGTAGATTCATTGGGGAGGGTTTTTTCCACCTTCCCTATAGAACTTGGCATTTAAGTTTACATCCAGCAGCTCACAGAGCAGGCAGAGGCTTAGCTGTGCTGTTCCCTACAGAAGGAAAAGTTTCCAGGTCTTCTTTGTATGGGAAAAGGTTTTTGCAGGACCACATCCCTTCCTTTCCACATGCCACTGAGATGGAGCACTGGGCTGGTTTTTGGGGGAAAAAAAGTCACTCCATTGAGGAAATACACCCCAAAAAGTCTCAACCTTGCAGCAGCCCAGGGAATCTCCCTCATTCCGATGGTTTTGCCCTGTAAAAGTCTTTGCCTTGAGCTTAGAGGGGATTTTCCTCCCTCACTCCTTATGGGAATGAAAAACCCTCCGTGCAATCACCCCAAACCTTTGATTTCTGCCCTCCCACCTCTCCCTCCCTCCCCTTTCTCTCTCCCTCCATCCTGGTGCCTCCCAAAGTGCTCACCTCTCCTCCACGCATCCCGTTTGATTTGGTAACTTCCCGTCATGGGAGCCAAAGGGAAAGGAAAGTGCTTTATATTCTCTGTAATCTGCTCCTTAAGCCTTGGGAGTTTAACAAGCCTGAGTGGATAAAGGAGGAAGTTTGAGGGTTTGGTGGTTTTGGTACCGAGCAGTGAAGGTTTGGTTTCGCTGGGAAGAAATGGGAGAAAAGATGGAAACGACTCCAGGTAGGTTATTTCCATCTCTCCTTGGTGGGGGGAGCAGGAGAAGAGGGGGAGACAAGGCTCTGTGATTTTTTGGCTTTGTTTTCCCCTTGTGAAAGCAACTGGAGACTCTGTGTGGAGTTGGGTTGAGCTCAGGGCATTGAGCTCCAAGGCTCACCCCAAAAAATGAAGGAACGGGAGGGAACTGCAGCTGCTCCCCAGTAGCTGAGGAAGTAGAAAAGATGATATTTGGAAGGAGAAAAAGTCTCCCAGACCTGCAGGTTTCTTGAACAGGAAAGGAACATCTAATCCCATGGGATGTGTGCCTCAGTCTCCTCTTTTTGTGGGAGGTGAGGACCCTCCTGTGCCAGGAAACCCTGGGAAAAGGCAGTTGTGTTTCCAGCAGGACCACGAGAGCCGCTGGTTAACGTGCTGGAGCCTTAAATCAGGCTTAGTCCCACTGCCCAGGCGGATTGCAAGCCCCAGGCAGCACCACGTTCCCTAAATTCTATCCCTTTTGTGTTCTACCTAAAGCCAGAGTGGGAATTTCAGCAGGGAAAAGCATCTCTAGGTGAGGTTTTACTGCTGGATCAAAGTTGGGGTGTGCAGGGCTGGATGCACCAAGAGGTCTAAATGATTCCAGCAGCTCTGTGCTGTCCCATTTCCCATGGAATTGTAGGCTCTTGTGCATGTGGAATTATCCTCAGCATTCCCAGTGTTGGTGCTGAGCTGATTCCATGGCTCTGGGCTCCATGTGGATCCAATGTGGCCGAGATCTCGGTGAGGAGTCACAGCTGTGTTTCCCTATTGGAAAAACTGGTTCAAGGAGATATGGATCTGACCTGGGAACCTCTTGGAATGTGTCTTCAGGAAGCAGGTGCTGATTTTGGGGTGTTCTGTGGGTTTTGGCCACTGTCACTTGCAGCAGTTTTACCCTCAAATCCCCAGAGATGCCAAACCCTAAGTGAGCTGAGCAAATACCTGCTGCTTCCTGGGATTTGAGGTGCTGGATCTCATTTCCAGGACAAAAAAAAACCAAAGCAGGGAGAGCTGGGTGCTTTCCCAGGCACGAAAGGGTCGTGCAGGTGAATAGAGCCCAGGAATTTTGGCCGTGTGGCCAAGCCTGGTGGTGTTGGTTTAGCATCAGGCTCTTGGCTCGGGTCAGTGAGCAGAGGCCGATGCTGCCGGGAAGCCACGTCAGGTGCTGAAACATGGATTTATTCCTTCAACCAGGGGGGGAAAAAAAGCTTAAAAAAGCTCTTTATGCATGAGCTTTCTGTTATAACTTCCAGTGGTTCAAGGGGTTGTTTACTCTGGAGAAGAGGAAGCTCAGGTGAGACCTCATCACCCTCTACAACCCCCTGACAAGAGGTTGGAGTCAGGTGGGGGTTGGTCTCTTCTCCCAGGCAACAGCAGCAGGACAAGAGGGCACAGACTCAAGCTCTGCCAGGGGAGGGTTAGGTTGGATATTAGGAAGAGATTTTTTCCAGAGAGAGTGCTCAGGCATTGGAATGTGCTGCCCAGGGAGGTGGTGGATTCACCATCCCTGGAGGGTTTCAAGCTAAGACTGGATGTGTCACTTAGTGCCATGGTCTATAACCACAGTAGGGTTGGACTTGATGATCTTGGAGCTCTTTTCCAACCTGGTTGATTCTATGATTCTCTGAAGTGTGTCCCAGCTCTGACACCCCAAGATGAGTCTCCAGCAGGTTGAAGCAGGAGAAATCCATTCTTAAGCACCCAAGGAGGGAATTTGGACAGAGTAGGGAGCAGCAACCTCCAAACTGAGGACATGAAAAATTCCTGAAGAATTTCAAATGCCTCTTTTTCTATGAGTCCATCCAGAGATCCCACCCAGGACAGATATTCCCAGCAAACTCCTGATTTTTGGTGGTCTGACTCGTTGTATTCGTGGCGAGTTTGGAGGTTTGGAGGAAGTTTCAAGTTTGGGCTGCAGAGCAAAGCAACCAGTGTGAGACTTGGGGGGAGGTTGGATCTGTTTCATCCCTCTTACGAGAACAGCACTTAGGCTTAGAGAGCCTGAAACCCTCCAGGCATGTAGCCCAGCTCTAAAATTAACAGGAATATTAATAATCATAACAATGGAGCTTATGGAAATGGAAGGAGGACTTGACAACGGAGCTTTGGTCCTGCTGATGAGGCTTAAAGGGCTTAAGGGGCTAAGCAGGCTCAGCCTAAAGGGACATCCTATTCTTTCACAGCTGACACGACTTGGGGTCATCTCCTTTGTTGGGGAAAGGGTAATATTCCCAGTTTTCCCTCTGCTCATGCATGGCAATATAATTCCCTGCTTTTTTTTGAGTACTGTGTTACTCAAGTTTCTGATTCCCAGGTTTGAGAGCAAGGATTGTGCTAAAAAAAAGATAATTTCCAAGCTGGATGAACTGGAGTTGATGAACTCCTACTGGAGCATCTTAGGACACTCAGGATTGTATTAAACCCACACCATTTCCATGGATTCTGGTGTAAGGGCTGATGATAAACCTCCTGTTTGGAGCAACTGGGAAGCATTCCCAGCTGTGCCACATCCAGCTGCAAATCCAGGTGGTTGATTCCTCCCTGCAACCAAAATGTTGAGGTTTCCATAGAAAGGCATGTGGAGATGGAGAGGGTTAAAAGAAAATCCAGCCTGGAATTTTTTTTTAGGGGGAGGTCTGTCACCCTCCTGTGGCCACAGGGAATGCACTGAAGATGGAAAACCCTTTTCCCATCAGTCAGGAGGTTGGGGGTGATGTGTCTCCACTCCCCTTCCTTATCCAGTCTGGCTGTTTGCAGCCAGATGATGGATTTTTCCTACAGAAATGAGGAATTGGTGTTATTCCTCTTGCATGATACAAGTTCCCCTCAGGAATCCAGTGGGAAAACATGTGCAGAGCTGGAAACTGTAGGGATTTGGCTCTAACCTGGCAAAACAAGCTCCATGGTAGGGAAAAATGTGGGATACCCCATGGAAACAGGGCACATAATGCTCCTGGAGTTGGAATTTGTATTTTCTGCAGGGTTGGCCACATTCCCTGTATTTCCTGTATTTCCCTCCTGGCTTCCACTCATCCTTTCCCTCAGCATCCCACACCTCTCTGCACAGAGATTTTTGGGACAGGATTGCCAAGAGTTTTCCCATTCCTCAATATCTCATACCTTAAACATTTTCCTCAAAACCTCCTCTTTTTTTTTACCCCAAGATTCCAAACAACCCTCCAGATCCCTCTTTAACCCCACCAGTGTTTTCCATATGGGAATGGTGCAGGATCATTTTATCTCCAAATGATGTTAAGCCTCTCTTTTCCCCCCTGGCAGTGTCTCCAGCTGCTGAACGTCTCCGCTACATCCTGGGGGAAGACGATGAACCTCCCAATCCCACACTTTTCACGGAGATGGACACACTGCAGCACGATGGAGAGGAGATGGAGTGGAAAGAATCAGCCAGGTGAGGCAGGGGGGGAAGATGCTTGAGGTTGAAAATGTGTCAAGAAAAGATCCACTTCCCAAATATCTCAGGGTAGAAATGGGATCAGGAAATGAGCATCATTTGTAAGGAGGGAGGTGAAAAAGACATTCCCAAATTAGGGATATGCAGAAAGCACAGTGTTTTAGGAGGCTTTGCAGCCTGCCAAGGAGGAGGATTTCCCACCTTGTCCCATGTCTCCTCAAGTGGGATCAACCCCAGAGCTGGAGCTTTTCCCATTCCCTGTCACCACATGAAAGCAGAAAGGGTTGGGAGGGTGAAAAAAAACAGGGAAACATGCTGGGAAACTGGAGAATTAGGGAAATGGGAATAGGGGACAACATCTCAAATCCAAGTGGGATTTTTCTCTTCCTAACCTCTGCTGTGTAAGGCCCAGTGGGATTGGGGGTTCTTGGGAAGGGATTCAGGGCTGCTGATTATATCCCAAGCCCTTTCCTTTCATGGGATTTCTGAGTCTGAGTGTGGAGTTTTGCTTGAGGGATTGGGAGAGGACAGGATCAGACCCTGTGGCTGCTCATCCTCTCCCCTGGGCTGGTTGTTTGCATCACCATCCCTTTGGAAAGCTCTTAAGCCTCCTCCTGGTTGCCATCCCTGCTCAAACTCCAGTGTTGGAATTTTATGGGCAAAACCCTGGATTCCCACCCCCTAATTTTCCATAGGTCTGTATCTACTCAGCCCTTCTCCCAAAAAGGCTTGGAAGGCAAAAATACCAACATTTGCATTGGGATTATCATCAGGGAGGGCTTGAGATGGAGAGTTCCAAACTCTTCCTGGGAGGATGGAAGTTACTCAAGTCCTGATTTCCACTCGCAGCAAGGAGCAGTTCAGCCTCTTGAGCTGCAGGAGAGCAGCTCTGTGGTGGGAGCAGCAGGAGGGAACAACTCTCCCTGTGGCTAAATCCATAGCAAATGGAAAAAGGTGGAGCTCAAGGCGCTGGGCACGGCAGGGAGTTGGGATTTTGCTGTAGCCTTGGCGAAGGCATCACGGGATGCCAATCCTGGGGGAAAGGCACCACTGGAAATGTGCCTCGAGTCCACACAGAGCTGCCACCCTGTCTGCTCACTAATAACCCACTTTCATCAGGAAAAGGGGGCAAAAAAAGAAAGGAAAAGTGACCTAATCGGCTTTGGGCACCGACGGAGCTTAGCGGGTGCCGCGAAGCTTGAATTGCCTCCCGATCAAAGCCGCGTTGTTTGAAGGCTGCAGAAAGGGTTTCTGCATGGGAATTGGGGTGGCACCAGGCCCAAATTTTATATTTATGGATGTACTGGAGTTTTGTTCCCAGCACAGACCTTTTCTGGCACTCCCAGATATTATTTTGAGGGTTTTTTTCGGTAGACACATATGGAATTTTCTCTTTGCTGCAGCATTTTGGTGCAGCTGATACAATCCTGGGCTCTCCCTACCCTTCCCTTACAGCATTCCTGAGCCATCAGCTGTTTCCAAACCTCCTACATCCTTTCCATCCTTGCCCCCTGAGGCAGCAGGAGCCCAAATCCCAGTTGTGCCAGTTGAAATTTATAAGGTTAAACTCTGTGAAGGCTAATCCACGGAGCCTGCAAACCTCCTGGAAAGGAAAAGCAGCTTTCTTCCCCAAATCAATGTCTTGCCAAGAGCTGCCCTTCCAGGAGTCTGAGCCCTGTTCCTGAGGAGGTGGGAGGAGTCAGCCACCATTCCCAAACTTGCTCTTTGTTGTAAGATAAAGGAGTGGAGGTGGAAGGGCTGTTTTCCAAGGGTTTGCAAACCATCTCGTCTCCCACCATGGGAATGAAGTGCCCAGATTGAATCAGAGCATTGCTAAGGAATTAAAAAACCACTGGGAATGCCCTTGGAGTTCTTCTCTCCTGTGTGCACTACTGGTCCATGCAAGGTGCAGATCCTAAGGCAAGGGCAGCTCCATGGGAAAACCTCTCAAATCTCCCAGGAGCAATTTGAGGAGGGTGAAATCCCAACTCAATAGGGTTGAGTGCACTGATAGGTCTGAGAGATTTTTCTTCACTCTACAATCATGGAAGCAGAGCTTTGAGTCATGATGTCACTCAATTTCTCCACTCCCATCCTGAATAACAAGGAAAACTCCATAGGATGAATTAATCCAGGTTTGCAAACTGCCTGGAGAAGAGAAACTCCCCAGGAGAAGCAATCGATTCTTATTCCTTTCTTGTCTCTTATTCCCTTCTCACACACCACTCCCATTCCATGCCTGTCCCGCTCTCTTACCAGGTGGATAAAATTTGAAGAAAAGGTGGAGGAAGGAGGGGAGAGGTGGAGCAAACCCCACGTGTCCACGTTGTCTCTGCACAGCCTGTTCGAGCTGCGGACGTGTCTACAGACGGGCACGGTGCTCCTGGACTTGGATGGCTACTCCTTGCCCCAAATTATAGGTAGGAGCTGGTGGGTGTCCATGGTTTTTGGATGGCTTTTTCCCCATGTCCTAAAGTGCTGGGAATGGGTTTAATTGCATTTACTTGCTCCATAAACCAAGTTGCATAGGAAGGAGCCAAGACTGGAGTTGAGAGCCACCAACCTGCTTCAGTAGGTTGTGGTCTTGAGCTTTCTGGGGGGTGCAGTGAGGTAACCCATGTACCTCCCTCGTTGGGTGCTTGCAGATGATGTCATTGAGAAGCAGATTGAGGATGGTCTGCTCAAACCAGAGCTGAGGGACAAGATAAGCTATGTGCTCCTCAGGAAGCATCGCCACCAAACCAAGAAACCAATCCACCGGTCCTTGGCCGACATCGGAAAATCTGTCTCCTCCAACACATGTGAGTCCTTGGTGTCCAACCTGTGCCTGGCTGCCCCCTTGGGTACTGGGGAGGGATATCTCGGAAGGAGGGGGAGGAGACCCAATGATTTGGGACACTCAACCATGAACTACCTTGAGAAAGTCCCCAAAAGTTCTGCCACTGGTGGCTCTGAGGGTGGGAGGTCATCGGGAGGGAGCTGGAAGTTCATCTCAGCTGCTGCTGAGAGGGACAGCATCCTGTGAGGAGCACAGCACTGTGTGAGGGACCACGTCATCCTGCGAGGGACCACGTCACCGCGTGAGGACAATGGCATTGTGTAAGGACAGTGGTGTCGGCAGTCGCTTGGCCAAGGGGTTTTCTGGCACAGCAACCTACAGACAAATCCAGTCTGCTCCGTGGTTGAACCCTCCTATTTTTGAGCCATTATAAAAGGGGATTTGTTTGTTTTCACGCTAGATTATTTACTTAGGTTTAAATGGAGGTCATTTGGTGGAGCCTGGGATTTGCCAGGCTACGGCTGCTCCCTGGGTAGACACAACCAAGCTGCATGTGGGCAAGGCCATCAAGAAGCAATATTCCCACCCTGTGGGCATTCCTATCTTTCAAACCAACCATCATCCATGTCCAAGGACTGGATATTTGAGGCAACATTTGGCCAGAAGTCTTCAAAATGGAGCACGGCCTGGGAATGTTGTGGTGGGTCCCTTGCTGAGACGATGGCGTCACTTTGAGTTTGGAAATAGGGACACTGAGGAAAAGATGATGATCACTGGCAGGAGCATAGGGATCTCCTGCACCTCTTGTGCCAGTGGAAACTCTGTGATGGATATTGGAAGAGATTCTGCCAGCACTTTGGAAATAGGGTCATGCCCCGTGGGAATTTCGTCGTTACAGTTATTGGGTTTAACCAATAGAAACAAGAGGAGAGGTGCTGTGGTTGCAGCTGATCCTCAGAGAGATGAGGAGCAACTCGACAAGACTCATCCAGATGAGTTTCCAAAAGGAAAACACAGTTTGGGGAATTGGGGAGGTTTTCTCAGGAAATGTTGGACTTAATACAGAAAAAGAAGTTTCTATAGGGAAGTAATTCAGCTTAAACATCTGAGGTGAAATATGGGACTCATCACCAGGTTAGGGAGGAGAAAAGTGAGACTTGGTGGTGGCCAATGGAAACGTTTTGAAGTGTGAAGTTCATGGCAGATTTCAAGTGTAGGTTTCTTTGGAGAATTATTAAATGGAAAAGCCAAATAAAATGTTGGATCTCCCTAAGTAACAGAAATTGCACTTCTGATCCCATGGAGAGCCTTGAAGAAAACATTGGTGAGCATGGGGTGGTGCAGGCTCCTTCCACTGAGCAGGAAGACTTGGGTTAAGGCATTTTATTCCCCTATTTTCCTTAATATTCCCTTACTGCTCACGGGAAAATACCCACGGGTGGGACAAAAGCGCCAAAGTAGAGTAGAAAGGCGTGAGAGAAAATTGCCGATGTCTTGATGCCTCAAGGCTCACGTCCGTGCTGAGCAGCTGATTTTTCAGCCTGGCCTCTTGCTTTCAGTGTCCCCCAGGGTTGCCCCATGGCAGCTGCATGTCCTCTAACAGCTCTTCCCTCTCAGCCCGCAGCCCCGTGCGGAGCCCGGCCACCGGCGCCGCCTTCCACCGCTCCACCGAGGACCTGCGGATGCGGCAGAGCGCGAGCTACGGGCGCCTGCGTAAGCTGGGCAGGGTGGTGGGGAGACAGGAACGGCCCCCAAATTACTGTGAAACCCCAAAAGTTCAAGCTGTGGTCTTGAGTGGGTGATTGCAGTGACAAGAGGTCCCACCGTGGCCATCGATGAGGTGGTTTGTGTAACCAAGAGTGGCTGAGATGTATATTCATAGTCGTAGAGTTTTAGGGGTTGGATGGAGCTTAAAGATAATCCACCCTTGCCCTGGGCAGGGACATCTCCTACTAGATCAGGTTGCTCAAGGCTTCATCCAGCCTGGGTTTGAGCACTGCCAGGGTTGGGGCAGCCACTGCTTCCCTGGGCAACCTGTGCCAGTGTCTCACCAACAGACACCAAGCCATGGACTCATGGAATCATTAAGGTTGGAAAAGCCCTCTAAGATCCTCGAGTCCAACCACTAGCTCAGCACTGCTGTGTTCACCACCAAACTGTGTCCCCAAGTGCCACATCAACACATTTTTCAAACATTTCCACCCCTGCCCTGGGCAACTGTGCCAATACTTTCGCACCCTTTGGGGTTTCTTCTTAGTGCACCTGTTGGCAAGTCCAAATAGAATACCAGTTTTATTTCTTCACACTAAGTCCTCCTGCCATGTTGTCCCCTTGCATGATGGGGCTGAGATTTGGCTGTGCATCGTGGAGTGGTTTTCTACCTTCTCTCTCTTCTCTCCATCAGGTCACGCGCAGAGTCGAAGCATGAATGACATCTCGGACACGCCGAGCAGTGACCAGGTAACCAACCCCCAAACCATCAGTGCAATGCTGTGAGGAGCATCTCCAACATTGACCCATGATGGAGCTCTGTGGTTGTTAAGGTCCATGTGAACCTTCTGTGGCTTCACTCAGTCAACAAGCAGCCAAATTCCTAATGAGGGAAACAAATATGTGTATTGAGCCTGGTGATCTCATGGGAAAGCTGTCCCAGAAGTGATACCTGTGCTTGCAAATTGAGCACAGGATTAGGGATGAGCAAAGATGTCAATGTAAACTGAAATCCTTGAGAGTGGAGAAAAAAAGTCCTTAAGATCTTTAGATGGGAAAGGAAAGGTGCTTGGAAGAGTGTAGGGATCCTAAAAGAGTCTTGGCTGGGTGAAGAGAGTAAATCCCACCCAACACATGGATGGAGCTCCCAAGAGAAGGGGCTGTCAACAGAGGTGGGTTCTGGTTTTCCCTCTGTGTGCTCCATGATGGACATGTTAATGCAAAGCTCAGCTGAGAGACCACCAAGGGTTTTTCCCTCTTGATTTGGATTTGTTAATGCAAAGCTCAGCTGAGAGGCCACCAAGGGTTTTTCCCTCTTGATTTGCTTTCACCAGGGAGCTGGGAAGGAACTGCAGGTGTTCAGGCAGCTCATGTGCACATCCCTGCTTGGGGATGTGATGGATCAATGGGATTTTGTGCCATTCTTTTGCTGGGTGTCCCATCCCAGCACTGAGGCTGTGTGGCTGGGAATTGTCGAAGCATTATGTGAGCTTTGCTTTGTGCCTGTGCAGGATTTCACTATAAACCTAAGGAAAAGCTACTGGCAGTGTGGGTTTTTAGGGAGCAGCATAGGATATCAGCCTGGTTTTTCCCAGGGATGTCCTTGCTGGGCTTACCTGGGGTTAAGTGAAGGATGGAAATCATGTGTGCTGGGAGTTGTGGGACAGGGATACCATGTCAGAGCAGCAGGAGGTTTCCAGAGCCCCTTCCAAAATGAAGCAATCCAAGTGGCCACTAAGGAACCCCAAATCTCAACCTGCAGCATTGGGGTTCGGAGGGTTAATCCCAAAATATGCAAAGTATGTAGGTTTAATCGCCCTATTAGACCCACTACAAAGGGACTTTTTAAGTGTTACACGAAGCTTAGTGGTCACTGTTAACTCCTGCTCTTGCTTATTCCAAGCTGCATTGGAGGAGTTGCTTTATTATTATTCCTTTTTTTTTTTTTTCCATTTGGATTTAAAAGATTAGGAAGGGGGGAGCTCACTGCCTGCTCACATGCCTCCCCTCATGCTGGCATATAGATTAGAGTAACTCCCTGCTTGGGTTGGTATTGAACCCTTGGAGACTCATAATGAAAGAGCTGCAGGGGAGAAGAGACCTGGGGATAAATGGTGCACTCTCTGCTGGGTTGAGAACTGGCACTGGCTTAGCCCAGTGAGGGGTGGTGAGTGGTGCCACGTCCAGTTAGAGAACCATGGAATCACAGACTCCACCAGGGTGGAAAAGACCTCCAAGATCATCAAGGCCAACCCTACTGTGGTTACAAGACCATGGCACTAAGGGTCTTGGGGGAGCCTGAGGCTGTAGGGCTGCAAATTAACTTCAAATACACATTCTGGCTTGCTCCAGGCTCCCTGAGCTTTGGCTCAGATTTTCCACAGGAGTTTTCACGGAGTTTTCCTTGCACAGACCTCGGTGCAGCAATGCACCTTTTGCAAAACACCAGTTGCTCGTTGTTTGGGGAGCTCTGGGCGAGGGGCTACGAATTGATCTCAGTCTTAGTGACATTTCTGAGTAACAAAGAAATTCAGCTTTATGAATTCTTGCTGGTTCATTCTTGGATGTGGCTCTTGAACCCAAACCTCTGGGAGTCCTGGGACCATCAGAGATGAAGAGGTTTGAGCCTGTGGCTTCAGCTTTTGTGTTCAGGGTGTGGAAAAACAAGGGGAAAAGCCAAATTTTGGTGCTTCCTTCCCCACCCTTGTCTTTCCAACAGTTGAAGAACAAGTTCATCAAGAAGATCCCCAAGGATGCAGAGGCCTCCAATGTGCTGGTGGGAGAAGTGGAATTCCTGGAGAAGCCTTTTGTGGCTTTCGTGCGGCTCCTCCAGGCGACGATGCTGGGAGGGGTGACGGAGGTGCCTGTCCCCACCAGGTGAGCACAACTCCTTCAGGTCCAAAGCACTGAGCAGGCCCATGACATGGGTGCTGGAGATCTGAGGGTGCCAACAAGGTGCCTTTCCCTTCCCAGATTCCTCTTCATTCTCCTCGGTCCCACGGGAAAAGCCAAATCCTACAACGAGATTGGCAGAGCCATCGCAACTCTCATGGTGGATGATGTGAGTAGATACAGCTCCTGACCCTCACTGGGAATCTCTTGCTCAGAACTGAGAAGAAAAAGCAATTTTCATCCTGTCACCCCAAAAATGAGCTTTAAAATCCCGTAATGACGTGGGATATGTGTGTGCTGGATGCTGTTCCTGGGGTGACACCTCTCCTGTCTCCATCCCCAGCTCTTCAGCGACGTTGCCTACAAAGCTCGGGACAGAGAAGACCTGATCGCTGGCATCGATGAGTTTCTGGATGAAGTCATTGTCCTGCCACCCGGCGAGTGGGACCCCAACATCAGGATTGAGCCACCCAAAAAAGTGCCCTCAGCTGAGAAGAGGTGAGTGGGAGATGTGGGGCTGGACCCAGCCCTGTGGCCACCCCCAATGTCTCCTCTTTTGGAGATGCTGGAGGACAACAGCTTTGCTTGTCTTCATCCCTAGAAATAATCTCTGCATATGTTCCAGAAATGCTGATTTTTCAGCAGGTTTTGCCTCCAGTTAAGCTCAGAGCCATTTCCACTCTGCAGTGACACCTTCTAGTGTGGCAGGAGGTTGGACTAGATGATCTTTAAGGTCCCTTCCAACCCAAACCAGTCCATTACTCTATGGAAATCTGCGTTAACCTTGGATTGAGCAAATTCAGCTCTTGATCCCCAGGGGCTGCAGGCAGAGAGGTGCACCATGGCCTTGGCCATGATCCCTATACCAGGAATGGCTCAGTGGGGCCTGTGGCCAACCCCAGTGTCTCTCCCCCAGGAAATCTGTTTTCTCTCTGAATGAAGTTGGGCAGATGAATGGCACAGCTGGTGGGGCAGGCGCTGGGGGCGGCGGCGGAGGCAGCGACGATGGTGAGATGCCTGAAGTTCATGAAATCGGGGAAGAGCTGGCGTGGACCGGCAGGTGAGCAAGAACCCACCACCCAGAAACCTTCAGCACCCATCAGCACGTCCTGCTGGCTCATCCCGTGGTCTCCTGGGGCATGGAGGGGTGAAATCCTTTTGGGAACAGCTTTTGTGCAGCACCAGATCAATTTTTGTTTATGTTTATATGTGTATGTCACAACTTCCCAGAGAAGCTGTGGTTGCCCCATGCCTGGAAATGTTCCAGGCCAGGTTTGGAGTGTGTTGGGAACAACCTGGTCTAGTGGAAGGTGTGGGTGAAACTCTTTAGGTTCCTTCCAATCTGAACCACTCCTTGATTCCATGATTCTGTTTGGGTGGAAGTCACGTGCATCTGGTCCTTGGTGGTGTCTCCCCAGGTTTTGTGGTGGCCTCTATTTGGATATCAAGAGGAAGCTGCCCTGGTTCCCGAGTGACTTCTATGAAGGTTTTCATATCCAGTCCATCTCTGCCATCTTGTTCATCTACCTGGGCTGCATCACCAACGCCATCACCTTCGGGGGCTTGCTGGGGGACGCTACGGACAACTACCAGGTCAAGTCCAGGGAGAGGAGGTCACTTTGGGGATAGCAAGATGGGATGGGATGGGCTTTACCCTACATGTGCCATGCCAAGCTTTAATGCTGGGGATGGAAATTCATTGCCAAGTGAAACTGGAAATACCTTCAGGATGGGAAAACCCATCTCAATGGCAGTGCCAGGAGCAAGGGGACATGGTCCCAACCATGCTATATGGGTCCAAGTAAAGGTTCTTCATTCCCATCTCCTTCTGGGGTATCTGTGGGGTCCGTGACGTGGCACAGCATCACCGTAACGCTGTGTTGGATCCATCCCTAGGGTGTCATGGAGAGTTTCCTCGGCACGGCCATGGCAGGATCCATGTTTTGCCTCTTTGCTGGGCAACCACTCATCATCCTCAGCAGCACTGGCCCCATCCTCATCTTCGAGAAGCTCCTCTTTGACTTCAGCAAGTAGGTGCTGGGCAATGCCAGGAGGAGGGGAACCAGGACCTGTCCATACAGGGCGATCTCACGGCTCTGCTCTTCCCTTCCAGAGGCAATGGCATTGACTACATGGAGTTTCGCCTCTGGATCGGCCTCCACTCTGCCCTACAGTGCCTTATCCTGGTGGCCACCGATGCCAGCTTCATTATAAAGTACATCACACGCTTCACAGAGGAAGGTTTCTCCACCCTCATCAGCTTCATCTTCATCTACGACGCCATCAAGAAGATGATCGGAGCCTTTAAGTACTACCCCATCAACTCGGACTTCAAACCGGACTACGTGACCATGTACAAGTGCGAGTGCATTGCTCCAGACCCAGGTGAGTACACCTCTTTTTTGGGGCTGGATGGGGAAGATGAAGAGGGTGGGGGGTCCCACTGTGGAGAAATCCCACTGGATTGTTGGCCGAGGACATGGAAGGAGTCAGCATGGGGTTGGAGAGACCTTGTCTCCATCCTCCTCCTCTGAGGTTGAATTTTGAAGATGGGAAGAAGAGCCTTGTCCCCCCCCCATGGATGAACACAGCAAATGGTGTTGGAGAGTCAGGATCTCAGCCTGGAGCAGCCAGATCTGGATGGATAAGAGGGAAATATGGAAATAAAAAGACATTTTAGATCATTAATTCCAACCTGCTACCGATGGAAACTTACTCTCCAGAAAATACCTGGAGTGGTTTTGTCCTCTCTAGTGTGTGTAACACCCTGAGATGTCCCAGTTGGATATGGAAACCTCCGTGGACTGTTTTTTTCTCCTCTTTTTTGCTCCTTTTCCAAAAGGAGAGGCCATCAGGCTCTGAGCAGATGGTCTTTCAATGGCTCCCCTGGTTTTGCTCTTGGATAGACATCCTGGATGATCCCTAATCTGAATTGTGCAGCTTGGATTCCTCTGTGACCACCTGGGAGTGGAAGTGGCTTTGGGCTGACAGCAGTTGACCACTTGCTCCCAGATGGGCTGAAATTTTTTTCAAGCCTATTTGGTGCCAGTTTTGGGGAGTATCAGCTGCAGACAGAGGAGCTAGAGAGAAGCTCTTCCCAAAACCAAAAGCATCCAAGACCTGCCACACAACACATTCCTAAGGCATTTGCCATTCCAAGGAGAGCTCTTCCCTGCTGCAATGGGAATACCAACGATTTGGTGTTTTTCCTTGATTTCTGGTCATCCACCACGCGCTGAGGGAGGCAATCCCGTTGGATTTGAAGCCCTCTGTGCAGTGGGAAGCACCTGGAGCCAACACAATCCCTTCCAAATGAAACACCCCCAGATCTGACCGGAGACAGATGCTCAACACAATCCTCAGGAGCCAAAACATCCCGAGTGGAGCCTTGACCTCCTCCACCCACCCTCGTGTGTCGGATTCTGCCTGGCAGCACCCACTGCTGGGGCCTAGCACAGGAGGAAGGCGAAGCCTTCAGCCTCCAGGGAGGTCTCCCCCTTTTCCAAGCCCCATCCCAAGCAAACCCTGAGCAACCAAGAGCCATTTGCCCCCCAAAACCACCTTGAACCCCATTCCTCACCCTCACCGCCCACAGCAGCGATGCCCACACTGGATTTTCCATTCCTCTAGATATTGAGAAATGATGTTTCTTTTCCCCCTTCCATCCTTCTTTTTTTTTTTTTTTTTTCTCTCGCTTCGTTCTGATTTTTTTGACTATTATAACTGATTTGTACCATATTTGTCTCTGCTGCACACATCAATTTGGGCTGATTTCAATCTCAAGTGAGTATCACCTTCTAAATATTAAAACTATTTTAATATTTGATACTCTTCCCCCTTGGGGGTTTTGATGTTCTTTTTGCTTTTTTTTTTTAATCTTCCATGTCTTTTACTTTTCTCTCTCTCTCTCTCTCTCCTCTCCTAAAAGGGTTTATAGAACCCTTAGGGCTCCTCTCCTAAATTATCTCCAGTGGCATTCTGCCCTTTTAGCCGTAGAAATTGCAATTCAGGCTGATTTCTGGAAAAAAATCAAAGGTTATGGAGAACAAAATGAGAAGGATGCTAATGTTTTTAGTGCTGGCTTTGCTGGCACTGATTCCCAGAGCCTTGGGCAGCCCTTGGGTCTCTGCTTCTAACCCAGCAATCACTTCTCCTTCATTAATCCTCGGTGCCGGGGATGGAGGCAGCCGAAATTCCCACTTGGCGCAGCAAGAGGATGGACCAGAGGGAAGAGGGGGGGAAAGAGCAGCCCTGGACCTTGCTCAGGGGCACCCAGAGAAAATGTGGGTGCTCCTGAAGCTGTGGAGCTGCGTCGCCCGAAGAACCGAGCCGAGCTGCTTTTTTTTACGCTGGAAGGAGAAGGTGCCGGGAGGGGTAGAGAGGTTTGGAGGTTTGCAGTGAGACATCAAAACACCCCTGAAAAAAAAACACCCCAACGAAAACCAAAAAAACCACCCCCCAAAAAATTAATAAACTATAAAAAAATGGCAAATTTGGGGATGATTGGGTTGGTGCCTCTCCAAAAATCCCAGGCTGCTTTTTCAGTCTTCTTACCCCTGTGGTTTGAAGGGTATCAGGAGGCTCAACTAGTAGCTTCCCTGAGCATCTCCTAAAAGTTTTTGGAGCTGGGAAACTCCTAAAAATCCACTCCACCCCCCACCTGGCCCTTCCCAGCCCTGGAGGGAGGAGAAGCTGCCCCGGGAGGAGTCGCGTTCTCCGCCGCCGCGTGGGATTAATCAGGGAGAAGTCGCTGCAGGGTTAGAAATGGGGTTTGCCCCCCCAAAATTCCTGGTCTGCCCTCGGAGGATGTGCTCCACTAACCCCAGTTTGCCTCTCTGGCTGGTTTGATTGCCAAAGCCCCTCGATATTAGCCAAAAACCTCACTAACAAACTCCTTTCCCGCAGCCAACGCGACCTTGTTCGATGCTTCAGCTCCAGTGGCACCGAACACCACTAACGTTTCTCTGGTAAGCAGGTTTGCTCATCCCAGTGGGATATCTGGGACAAGGGAGGGCAAATGGGAGGGATTTCCAAATCTGTGTTGGGTCAGGGTGAGGGAACTCAAGTTTGTGTTGCTGTGGGTTCAGGGTTGGGCTCAGCACCACCAAATCATCCCTTTTTGCCTGAATTTTTGTCATCTTTGAGGTTTTCCTCTGGGTTTTGGGACTCCCACTGGAAGCAGCCCTGGGAAATGCCTTTTCCTTGCATGCTGAGATGAGTCCAACTGCTAATTTTAGGGGTTTGGCCAGGAAATTTCCCTTTCCTTGTACACTGCAATCCCTAACTTTGGGTGGTTTGGAAATGTTCCTTCCCTTCCATGCTGGGAGTGCTGTTGTTGTCTTTTTGGCTGGGAATTGCCCTTTTCCCTATGCACTGCAGTTCCTTCAGATGCTAATTTTGCTTTCTTGGGGGGTTTCTCCCCAGTACAATACTATTAACCTCACAGCTCTGGACTGGACTCAGCTGAGTAAGAAGGAATGTCTCAAATACGGTGGCAGCTTAGTGGGAAAATCCTGCAAATTCGTGCCCGACTTGGCCCTCATGTCCTTCATCCTCTTCTTCGGCACCTACTCCATGACCTTGACCCTGAAAAAGTTTAAGTTCAGCCGCTATTTCCCCACCAGGGTAAGCAAAGTGTTTGGTTCTACCTCCCTCTTTTCCCAAAGGGAGGGAAAACAGGAGTTCTCCGTGTTTTTCTTGGATGCAAAGGACTCCAGGAAAAGAAATCTTTAAGGAGATGTTGACAACAATTAGGAGATTTTAGCCTCTGTTTTTGAGCTTCTGTAAAGCTTTTGGCACTGTCCTCACAGCATCCTTCTCTCCCAGCTGGAATAACTCATCACCTTGTGACAAAAGGAGAGAAAAACCTAAATTTTGTGGGTTATCTATGTGTGGAGCTGGAAAACCCAAAGCAGGAACAAACCTCTCCAGCCCTTGAATTAACCTCTTCATCCCATTAATTACCCTTTCCCCCTGTTTCCCTGTCTTGCCTCCAGGTCAGGGCTTTCATTGCTGATTTTTCCAATGTCTTCTCCATCCTGCTCTTCTGTGGAGTGGATGCCTGTTTTGGACTGGACACCCCTAAGCTCCATATCCCCAGTATCATCAAGGTTCGGCCGTGCCGGGGGGAACCTCTCACCTCTCCCACTCTCTTTCCAGCCTTTCTCCATTTCTTTGGGAAAATCACAGCTCCTGCAGTGTCCAGGCACCTTCCCAAAATCTGCTTTGTCTTTTCTAAGGAATATTCTGACTGTGTGACTTTCCTTCCTTTTTTTTTTTTTGTTTTTTTCCTCCCTTTTCTCTTTCGCTCCTGCAGCTGCGTAAACTCATTAGTGATTTCTCTATCTTTATGTCCATACTAATGTTTGTGGGGCTGGATGTGCTTTTTGGACTCAACACCCCAAAGCTCCAAGTGCCTACTGATTTTAAGGTAAAAAAGAAGGCAATCCAATCCCATTCCAGGAAGAATTTCTCTTCCTCCATCCATGGGTGGGAAGAGAGGGGGAAGCATCCAGGCAACACTTGGGGGGGGATGTGGATGCTGAGGGTGGTTTGGGTGCAGAGAGGTGGTGGTGGGATGGATCCCACCAGGGATGGGTGGTGATTTGTGGCTTCCCAAAGTGCTGGCAGTGCTTGGGTTCTCCCCATCCATGGGCTCAGCCAAACCCTGTGTCTGTGCCCCCAGCCCACCCGTGTGGACCGAGGCTGGTTCGTGTTTCCCTTTGGGAAGAACCCGTGGTGGGTGTACCTGGCCAGTGCCCTGCCTGCCCTGCTGGTCACCATCCTCATCTTCATGGACCAGCAGATCACAGCTGTCATTGTCAACAGGAAGGAGCACAAGCTGCGGGTGAGTGGCACCTTGGGGGACCCCCTGGCATGGGGGGTTTGTCCTAGCTTGGCACAGCTGCAGGGTTGGGATGCAAGCTGAGCTTTTGGGGTGACAAAGCTTCTGGGAGGGGAGGAAAGTCATTGGGTGCTGTAGGGGGGTGCAGGGTGGGGATGTGGGGTGCATCAGGGGGATACAGGATGCACCATGGTGATTTGGGATGTGCATCAGGGTGATGTGGGATGTGCATCAGGATGATGTGGGGTGTATGAGAGCAATGCAGAGTGTTCCAGGGGGATGTGGGGTGCATCAGGGAGATGCAGGATGCACCAAAGTAATGTGGGATGTGTATCAGGATGATGTGGGATGCACCAAAGTAATGTGGGATGTGTATCAGGATGATGTGGGGTGCACCAAAGTAATGTGGGATGTGTATCAGGATGATGTGGGGTGCATCAGGATGATGTACCAGGGTGATGTGGGATGTATGAGAGCAATGCAGAGTGTTCCAGGGGGATGTGGGGTGCATCAGAGGGATGTGGGGTGCATCAGGGGGATGCA